ACCGCATACCAAAATCTCTGCTTTACGGTGAGCTTGTAGACGGTAAGTGAAAACAGGGTGGACAACTCAAAAGGTTAAAGGATATTTTCCACGAAAACTTAAAGGGAATTAACAGGCAGAATGAGTGGGAAGAGGCAGCGCACAATAAAACACAATGGAGAAGAATTGTAAACTCATTTACCTAACAGCGACAACGCAATAAGATTTTTGAATGTCCGGAGTGTGGAAGAGAGATAAGAACACGTATCGGGCTTTTCAGTCTAGACAAGAGACATCATTTTAATACTTCTAATAAAACGATCTATCATTGCTTCTCTTCAAAACATATTGTTTTACATATTCTTTTTATAAAGCGATTTTGTTCCAATAAAACGTTCAAAAAGGTTTTTGACTAAAATGTTTTTGCTTTTTCTGTGTGTTTCTAGTCTTACTTAATAGAGACCTTTTGACTGAACACTTAACTCGTAAGGTAAAATGTTATGTCTAGCCGGCACAGGTGTCAATTTATGTCATGAACAAAACCAGTTTTCATTTCATGGGATGCTGTACCTGTTGAAATCTAGCTCGTGGCATCATTTGATCTCTGACCTTTAATTTTATGGTCCAGGGATGTTGGTCAAGCAGAACAGGTTTTGACGTTTACAGATCAAAGGATAGGGATCATCAGAGGGAAAATGCTTAAAATGTAATCAGTTAAAAGGAAAAAGAAGGCGCCCCTCAAATATTACAATATTTGTTATTTAAAAAACGGTTAGTATTTCGGGAAAACGCATGGACAAGCATAATTTATTTGTTTTTTTATATATTTTGAAATTTTTTAAAAAATTATACAGGGTGTGTTCCAAAAAGTTGGGTAATTTCTTAACCACAATTCTGCTTAAACTACTTGACGTAAAAAGTTTTGGCAAACGGATTTTTCGAAAGTCAAATTCCAACGAGATGAAACTACCCCTCAAATATTACGAAGTTATTTAATAATATCGCCATATTGTTTTTTCTCATGCTGACATAAATGTGAGAAAATTTTATCCAGTTTGTATGTTAATGGAAATTCTTGCTTTGCTTTATCATCACCATTACAAATGATTAATTTGACGCGAGCGAAGTCGCTGATACACGCCAGTTTAAGGTTGTCGCCCACTAGACCGCTGCGCGGCGCGGCGCTGGGAAGAGAATTTTTTCCGGCTGCGAAGGGACTGCGCCCACTATAGCGCGCTTTTGAAACGCGGCAACGCTATTTAGTTATAGTCAAAGTGTTTTTTACTTACTGTAGTTTAGTTTTTAAAGCAATGAGTTCAAGTACGGACGAAAGCGTATTTTTTGTGCTCTTCTAACAGAGGAAGAGGAAGAGGGGGTGAGGAAAAGTTTGGACTCATACGATTAACAAAAAAAGGAAGAAGTTTGGAGAATTTTACCATCTTTTTCCAGATTTAATAAAAGACAAAATCATTTTTTTCAGTATTACAAAATATAAAGGAAACATTTTACGCACTCCTCAATTGAGGGTTTTAGAAGAAAAAACACCGGGTATATCTACTCATCATATTTTTTCAGAAGAGACAAATTACTAATATTTTTGATAATTCTTATTTATTCTGATGTGTATATTAGTTATGTGGTCAAAAAAACCCTGATCTTTTTTATATATTTAGGTAATTAGAATTTAAAAATTGGAGATTGTCACTTTTGTTAAAAAGTGGAGATTGCCAGTTTTGCCTCTACACCCCTCAATTATATTAAATCTTTGATAGAAAGGCATTTCGTCCATCTGTCTCTAGTGAGGGAAGACTAAAAAAAATATCATATTCCTTTATGAAAATCGATTTGCCTAATTTACCTTTAAAAATACAATTCTGCCATTGATACATATCACTAGTTCCTAGTCAAAAAGCTAACTGAAAAGACTCGAATGCAAAATTATCTGCTTGTGAGTACGCACACTGCAACGCGTCGAAACGCGGGAGACGGAAAAAAGTTGCTAGAGAAGTCTTCCGACTTCTTGACGGAAATTCCGTGGCGCTTCTGCGCCGCGCGCTCTAATGTGCGTTGGTCCATTTAAATACATGGCAAGCAGACAAAAGAAATTTCCACATGGCGCCGCGCCGCGTCGCGCCGCGGTCTAGTGGGCGACAACCTTTACATATAAAATGACAGCGATCTTCATTTCATAGCCATCGCTAACGCCGTTTTTTTTTCGAGCATACGGCGGTTTTATTTAATATGCCGTCTCCATGGTAAAGACGAATCTGCTTAGATTGTCATGTTTTTCAAGCTAGATGAAAAATAGAATAAGCTAATATTTCATTTGTAATATTGAAATTTTGTCAGACAACGTTAGAAGCGTTTTTAGAAGCAAAATATAAGCATTCCTCTAGGCTATATTAAATTATTGAAATATCTTTTTTTGGCATCAATATTGTAACATTACACATTTTTCCACGTAGAAATTTCATAAAGTTACAGCAAAAGCAGTCATATATTTTATGTAGAAACTGAACAAAATTCCTTCTTTGTGCAGTCAGATATAAATAGACGTATATACGTATATATGAAATTTTATTTCGCTTAAATGTGAAATTTATCAACTTGTTCAAAATAGTCAATAATTCGTATATATTGCATTTACAAGAATACCTATATACATCACTTTTAGTTAAAACTTAAATATAAATATTTAAAAAGACGAAGGAAGCATTTTTTTAAATAGGACGGATAATTAAAATTGGTTAAATATGCATATTTAAATATCTTTAAATATCTCAAAAACCAAAGCATTTAAACATATTAAACCCTTATAATAAATGCCTTATTTTATGACCAAGAATCCAAAAATGAAATAAAATACCGGGTGTTCCATAAGAAAAAATATAACTTTGGTATGGATCTTAGTTATGAAACATCCTGTACATTTCAAAATAATTTTAATCTTTCCGTTTTCGTATAATCAACCGAGGCGAATGAGGTGCCCCGCCCTGTATAAATATCTAAAAATAATAAAAATAAAACCATATGACACTTTAAATTTGACAAAAAAAAATTCCGTTCGTGGTATTTCCATCTAAGTGTAGAATCTTATTCTTATGAAGTTGTAAATCAATCTATATTTACAGTAGCGGATTTTGGTCATAAAAGGACAAATTTGCCTGACAACTAAATGTTGGGACAAGTATTTTTAAATAATTAATATCATAGGTGGCTTTGCTATAAATGTCACAAATGTCGCAAACTGTTTACTTCAGCATTGACAGCTTGTAAGTGACTCGATCCTTTGAGTAGTGAGACTTACTGTAAGTAATTTTAATTTTTTTAATTTTCAATTTTGTTAATTTAATCCAAAGTAATGGTCCGTGGAAAAGCTACAAATCAAAAACTACGCGAAATTATCATTCGTCAATACAGTACGGGAAAAACAATTCGAAAAATTTCTGATGGTTTAAGTATTCCAAAACCACGGTCTTTAATAGAATAAAAAAATACGGCGAATCTGCCAGTGTAGGCGTTAGAGGTAAAAGTTCGGGAAAGCCAAAAGTTGTATCTCAGAGAGATGTACAAAATTTAGTAAAAATTTGCAAGTCTGCGAGAAGAAGTACTCTTCGCGAAGTAACAGTTAAATGGAATACTGTAACTGGATTAAATATATCAAGAGAATGTTGCCGAAAATATATCCATAAATGCGGTCTGGGGTTTTACAAGGTAAATTTTATTTTGTGTGGATAATCAATTACCTGAAGATTATTGATACAAATTCTTATTTAGGCCAAAGAAAAACCGCTACTGACAGAAATTCAAAAGAAAAATCGCTGCAATTGGGCAAAATCTAAATTATCGTGGACACAAAATGATTGCAATAAGGTCATATTTAGCGATGAGTCTAAATTTTATGTTTGCGTTGGAGATCATCGAAAAAGAATAATACGAAATTCGCAGAAGCCTTTCATAAAGATTGCTTAAAGAGGGTTGTTAAATTTCCTAAGGGGATTATGGTTTGGGATTGCATGTCAGCAAGAGGTTTGGGCAAATTAAATTTTATAGATGGCACTGTTAACGCCCAAAAATATCAACATATACTTGAGACCTCACTTTTGCCTAGTGCTCAAGAATTGTTTCCAAACGAAGACTATATTTTTCAACAAGATGGAGCATCGTGCCATTCAGCAAAATCAACTAAAAATTGGTTCGGTAATAATAATATAAAAGTTCTATCCTATCCTGCAAGTAGTCCGGACCTCAATGTTATAGAATCTGTGTGGCATAAAATGAAGCAATATTTAAGAAACCACCCTCAACGAACAATTTTTGATTTGCGGACAAAACTGCAGGGAATTTGGGATAATTTTTCTCCTCAAATGTGCCAATCTTTGGTAAATACAATGCCATTAAGAGTTCAGGCAGTTGTTAAGGCGAAAGGTGATGTAACTCCGTATTAAACAAATTTCTTGTAGTGCTGTCCCAATATATAGTTGTCAGCAAATTTGGCTTGATTTTGGCAAAATAAGCTATTATCAAAAGTGAATTGTTTGCAAAGTTATAAAAATATAGTAAAATTGTCTAGATCATATTGTAATGTTTGAATTTAGAATAATAAACAAAATAAATTGAGTCGTTTTAACAAATTACTATTTTTATTGCAAAAAAAGACCTTGTCCCAACATATAGTTGTTAGGGCTCGTACTACAATAATTTATTTTTCTCATTCTGATGAATCGCTACGAAAAACCTTTAAATTTAATTTCTAAAGCATTCGAGTTCATTAAAATATTAGGAAGAGCCAGACAAAAGATATAAGAAAGTATTCCCTGTGAGAAAATTCTCCAGTTTTAATTTGGCTTCGCGAGGAGAAAGTATACTCCGAGTGACAACTGCAAAATCAATAATTTCCTCGTTCTCTAAATCATCCGACTTGATATTAAATAAAAAGAAATCTACAAATATTAATTTCTATACAAATATAATCAAAATTGTATAGAAATCTATTTAATCGAAAGTGTTCTTTTTTATAGTGTGAATCAGGCTGGCGGATAAAGGGACCCTACCAAGTGACCGCTGTCCAGCGTTGACCAATCGGGAAGGGTGTTTGGATGGACACACCCTTTAGGGTCATTTCAGCGGGTAAGCGATTCAATTTGGCTGAAAATCGAGGGGTAAAAAGTAATCTTATATACAGGAGAATTGGGAAGGGTTGCATAAAAGGTTTTATTTTTATTTAATAAAGTTATTATTTCGTTTTGTTTTTTATTTCGCATGTGTTATTTTGATATTTTTTATGTTTTTGTTTACGGTTTAATTAAAAATCGAGTTAAAAATAAACAAGAACCTCATGATTAAATTATTTTTTTTTATTTATGGCATGTGTAAAATTGCATTTTATATCATGAATGTGACTTCAGCTTCATTCAGAACCTCGAAATCAGTCGAATAAATTAGTAGTTTCAATTAGCCGTAAAGTGTGTTCACCTAATTTTAATGTAAGCATTCAGAACGTCATAATTAGTGGTAGTAATTTTTAATTAGTGGAAAAAGTTACCAAATGTTGACGTTTCCACTAATTATACTTCAAAATTTGCAAGGAATGTCATTTTGGCCTTTGATTTATCACCGGTCAAGAAAAATTTTGGTTAGAAATCAAAAGTTTATTGTTTTATAAGCTTTCTCTCCGGATACAACAGACTATCGCAAGCTGTTGCTAGGATATTTTATTAATTTTAATTGTGTTTGTTAAACATAGTGAATGATCGTATGAAGTGTAATTAAAACCACTAGTTATTTCACTAATTGGGAGGTTCTGAATGAAGCTTTACCATTATATAATAAAATAATTTAAATTTTTTTTAAGTATTTTGCCTTATGAATTATTTTTGTATGAAATATTTCAGTTACATCATATTTTTCTCTGTAGATTATTTTTTAAATCTAAATGTGAGTGTTAACATATTATACAAAGGACAAGTTATAATATTTATTTATAATTATTTTTGTTTAATATTTGGTTTTGTAATTTTATTTAATAAAGTTATTGTTTTGCCTTGTTTTTTATTTTGCATGGATCTTCCCGTATATTTTTGCTCAACATAATATTTTGGTATAAATTTTGATTAAAAAATAAATTATACAAAATTACTTTAACTTTATAATATAATGTTTAAAAAGCATTTTATATCTTGACTGGTATTTTTTACAAATTTATGCGTGACAAAAGGCCTTAAAACTGATAAGTGTGATAATAACGGATTTTTTGAAATTATACTAGTGTACATTTACCTGATTTGAGAGAACATAGGTAACTAAATTGTTAATTAATTTGTCTGCATTCTTATGAAAGATTATTTAATGTGAAAAATGTTTATACCTATGTGGTTTGGTTTGGTTTTACAACCTCTCCAAAAAAATCCTATATGGGTATTCTGCCACTGCAAAAACATCTACAAAATAAAATAGTTATTTTTTGTAAACACTGCTGGCGTTAATCCAACGGAGAATTATTTGTCAGTTAGGTTGACTGATAAACAAATTTGCTTAAGGAACAAAAAAATGCTTAACGTTTCAGAAAGTTTATCTCTTAAAGCAAAAAAAATCAAAGAATAAAGGAAAACTATTTAAAATATTTAAATTCAACTATTCGAAAACACTTTATTTAATGTAGTTATATTATCTTTATAGTTTTTTAAATATAAATGTCAAAAACTCTTTTAAAAACGAAAAATAACAATCAAAAAGATATAAAATATTTTTCTAAGACCATAAGTAATTTTTAAAGTTAATAACGGTAAATCATATCGCATTAAGTTATGATAATAATAAGAGAAATATTTTTTTTGTAATAATAAATCTCTCATTGAAATTAATTACATATCTACATATACATAAAGTGATAAATAAACGTGCATTTATTATTACAGACGTACAAAATTAACATTAGTTTATGGTCTTTCAACGTTGGTTTATAGATTAGTATATACAGGGTGTCCCACTAAGAATAGCTCTCGGCTGTATCTCGAAAAGTATTAGTCGTAGAGCGTACGGAAACAATATTTATTACTAAAGAAAGCATGACAAATTGCTGGAAATTATTTTCAAGTTTGTAGAACGGCCGGTAGAAGGCGCAACTGCTATTAAAAATAAGAAAAAGGAGTTTTTACACAATTTTGCCTAGATAACGGATACTATAAATAATAGATTTATAATCTTTATTAAATTTTGCATTTTCTTTGTTAGAACCATTTTCCTCTATCTGCCAAAATAAAGTGGCGGGGGAAGGTTAGATCTGTTTTTATTTAAACATTAATAACTCCGGACTGGATGAACGGAATCTAACAATCTGGGGCTCGTTTAAAAGAGCGTTTCTTACTCTATATTATAGCGTATAAGCAATAATAATAAGTCGTTGATTGTAGACGCTAGGGGGCGCTGTCTTACAATTTAACAAACATTGCGCGGTTTTTCAAAAAATTAAATGCGATAGTATATATAATTTTATCTGATAATAAAGAGTAATAAAAGTTTAAAAAGTCAGCGAAAACCGCACCTTGATATCCTCTTTCAAACCGAAGATATTAGCAAAATTATAATAAATACGAAAAAATAGGGTTTTAATTACCTTATTTTAACACGGTTACATTAGCCCTCTTGATTATGACCATTCTCATAAAAAATAAGATAGAACCGATTAGTTTATTCTAAAATCGACAATATACCAGAATACGATAATACCAGATGTATTATTATCTAATAATTAGGATATCAATGACAGTGAATAAGAAACTTTTTTTTTGTTTGGAAAAACTACATGTTACTTTTAAAAACTACATAAACTACTTTACATGTAGTTAATGTAGTTTATGTAGAGGGTGCAGTTTATGTAACCTATGTATGTAACTTTCAAATATCAAAGGTTTGAGATGAAGTTATAATAAGTTGAAGCTTTAAAAACACATAATGTATTTAAGAAAACAGAAGAAATATGGCTTTAAATATAATATTTACATCATATTATCTCTATTATACCTCACACAAATAAAAAGTATTCATAATATCAATACATAGTTTATTAACGTAGTTTTCATGTAGTTAATGAACGGGAAAAGACGTAGTTTTTGAAGAAAAACTACACGTAGTTAATCAGGTAAATTACGTCTTAATTAACTACTTCCGAACCCTGCTCGGCAGTCGTTGGCATACGTTTTATGATAGTGGGCTATAATAATATGGTAGTCATAGGGCAGTCTTCTTCGCAGTCGCTTGGCAGTAAAATGATATTTTGCAAGTACATGTACATTTTACTCAAGTGAGACACCCCTCGGGCTTAGCTTTATACTTAATTATGCTGGTCATAAAAATAACATACTGGTATATAGTGAAGATTAGGGAAGCCCAGAAAATACCTAAAATTCAAATCATTAATCTTAATAGCAAGGGTTAAGCGTCGTTTCCAGCATCACTTCTCTTTCTCCCCCAAGCCAGAAATTATTTATAGAAAAGATCGCGTTCAGTAGCGGCGTGTTAATTGAATAATAAAATCAATTTATTTAATTAGTGAATACTTTGAGGGCGTCGTTTTCTTGCTTCAAATTTACTGTGGTATGTATGATGTTATACAATGGTATTTTTTCTAATAAAAAATTCCTGTACTGAATTTTTTATAATGTTTTGAACATTAAATCGTGTGTTTCTCAGTTTGGAGAGAAATCGATTCACCTTCTTTTTACCCCTGACCCTTCATTTGGCTTCTAGTAATTTTTTGAATATAAAATTTATACAGGGTCCGGCAATAGTGCGTTGTGCATATGTAGCTCCCAGAATAAAACACTTGGAAATTTTTTGTTTAAGTGCCGACCTAAAGTATATACGAGGATGTATTTCAGGAAAATATTTTAACTTCTATAGGGTGGCTCAAAGAAGTGTGAGTGGATCGGGATGATTTTTTTTAATGCCCTGTATATTATTACACTATTGGCTTTCTTTCGGATCATTTTAGATAATCCTAAGAATATAAGTAAATATATTTCGATAATTTCAGAGCTATTAATAAATAAATAAAAAATATATATTTTTACAACCTTCGAATATTTTTTGTATTTAAAGTATTTCAAATTTTTTAGTAGTTTCGCAGATACACCCAGTTTTATTTCATATGGGTCTTTCAACGGTAAAATACGAGGGAAAATCATTGGGTGGCTTTGATATAACTTTACTGTGAAAAATGCCAGATGAAATATAAAACCGCTAATATCTGCAAAACTGTTAAACATTTTAAAATACTCTAAATACAAAAAATGTTCATTTTTTAATTCTCCATCTATTGAAAAAATAATATACAGGATGTTTCATTTAAAAAAACAAAGAAAAATTATTTTATAATTTGGAAAGTTTGGCGTAGAATTTTGAACATCCTGTATGATTTACGATTACCATATTTATATCAAAGTAAGTACATACTATCTAAAGTAAACACCTAATATAGTTTTGATTTTCGGACAGTTCTTGTATTTTTAATAATATTTTTAAGAAAGGCTGAAAATATATATTTTTTATTTATTTATTAATATCTCTGAAACTATCGAAATAGATTTCTTCATAATTTTAGGATTATATAAAATGATCGGAAAGGAAGCCAAAAATGTAATAATAATATACAGGGTGTTCCATTTAAAAAAGCATCCTGATATACTCACACTTTTTTGAGCTATCCTATAAAAGTTAAAATATTTTCCTAAAATACATGCTAGAACAGTTTGACAAATATAGGAAGAGACTTGGGGATAGCACCGGCCGCGCACACGATAGAGAGAGAACGCATTCGGCGGAAGAAAGATGCAGTTACGCTACGAAAAATCTGATTCAAGCAAATTTGTGGGCTGTCCACTGCGCATCGAGGGGCGTCTCTTATTTTATATTTCTCACGTCTCTAGCTATTCTTGTTAAGTTGTACAAACGTTAAGGTGCGTATTCATTATCCGAACGAACGAACGAACGAACGAATGAAAGTGCGGTATATTTAGACGGGGACCGAACGCATGCGGCCGTTCGTTCGTTCGTTCGCCCGACCATCCGTTTCGAGTCGGTACATCAAAGGCGTTCGCCAACAAATGCCTCCAGTCTTCTCGTGCGGTCCCCGTCCATACCACTAGCGAACATTCGTTCGTTCGTTCGTTCGTGCGGATAATGAATACGCACCTTTAGGTGTACACTTAAACAAAATTCACAAGTTTTTTATTTTAGGAGATACAGATGCCCGAAGCACTATTGCCGGACCATGTATATACGATTTAGAAGTTTCTTATAAACTTTGCATTTTATTTA